GGAGTAGCATGGTACTGTGGAGAAGGGACAATGAGGGGCTGAGGGCAGTCCCAAAGGAGTATGGGCAGCATGGGGTGAGTTGGGCACATCTAGGATGAGAGTGCAGAGCTACAAATGAGCATAACTGCTCCTTCTGAGAAGAGGTTTTTCCCGAGGGGGAGAAATTTGCATAACTGCTCCTTCTGAGAAGAGGTTTTTCCCGAGGGGGAGAAATTTAAAAGACGTCCATATTGAGACACAGGGATTTAATGTGAAGTGGATTGCAAAATTCATATTAAAATTTTGGCTAAAGCTCAGACTTTTCTGACAGCAGCTGCTGTTGGTCTCTGGGGCCCAGCAGAGGGTGCACTGCATCCACATTACCTTTGCTGCCTGAGCCTCAGTAGTGGGAACGGTGGGAGCAGCAAGACAACCTTAGCCTCATCTTTGCCTGCCTTACAGGTGCTGGGGGCCCGGCATCTCCCAAAGAATGGCCGCGGCATTGTGTGTCCCTTTGTAGAGATTGAGGTAGCTGGAGCAGAGTATGACAACACCAAACAGAAGACAGAGTTTGTGGGTACGTGGGCTTTCCCCTGCACCATCCTCATCCTCCTGGCCATACGGAAGTCCTCTCCTCACAGTCCCCTGTCCTGTTAGTGGGGGCCTGAGCTCTTTTGCTCTTGCTTTCTTAGTGGACAATGGACTGAACCCTGTGTGGCCAGCCAAGCCTTTCCACTTCCAAATCAGTAACCCTGAATTTGCCTTCCTCCGCTTTGTGGTGTATGAGGAAGACATGTTTAGTGACCAGAACTTCTTGGCTCAGGCCACTTTTCCAGTAAAAGGCCTGAAGACAGGTGAGGAGTCTTCCTGGACACAGTGCCTTCTGAGCTTGCTGCCAGGTAGGGTGGGCTCCTTGCTGGTGCCCTTGTGGGCTGAAGGCCAGGCTTGCCTCCTTCTAGGATACAGAGCAGTGCCTTTGAAGAACAACTACAGCGAAGACCTGGAGCTGGCCTCGCTGCTTATCAAGATTGACATCTTCCCTGCCAAGGTAACTGTGGCAGGGTGGGTGGGAACCGGGCAGCACCCTCCCAAGGTGCAGAGGATCCTTGACCTCTGTACTCTTGTCCTTGTTGAGCAGGAAAACGGAGACCTCAGTCCTTTTGGTGGTGCGTCCCTCCGGGAGCGGGGCTCAGATGCATCTGGCCAGCTGTTTCATAGCCGGGCCCGAGAAGGCTCCTTTGAAGCGCGCTACCAGCAACCGTTTGAGGATTTCCGCATTTCCCAGGAGCATCTTGCAGACCATTTTGACATTCGGGAACGAAGGTGAGGAAGGTGGAAGGGAAGATGGCCAGTGTGCAGCTTGGGGTGCTGGAGCAAGGGGGACTAGCTTGGTGAGGTGCTGCTTTTCCAGTATCTTTCTCTTGCATAAAAAAGCTATAATTGGCTTTGGGCTGTTCTGTTCAGCTACAAAGCCTTGCTGCCAGTAAGGACACTCTTCTCTTCACTCAGGACCCCTAGAAGGACTCGGGTCAATGGAGACAACCGCCTCTAGTTGTGCCCCCACCTCAGTGGAGAGCAGCAGGTGCTGCATGCCTCGTGGAATGCCGTAAACTGGGTTCTTCAGAAGGTGCCGACTGTGGCAGCCTTCCTGGTCTCGCAGCCTGGAGCCTGGATTCCAGTGGTGAATGCTAGACAAAACCAAGCCATTAATGAGATGTACTGTTTTGGGCCTCCAGGCTCAGCTCCGGGTGAAGGCAAAAACTGTACTGTGTCTCGCATTAAGCACACATATCTGTCCCTGACTTCTGGAAATGGATCCTTCCATCCTATCGGGCCAGGAGCAGGGCCGAAGCCCCTTGGAGAGGCCACCTCAGCTGGCAGCATAGGAGGCTTCAAGGAGCCATTCACATTCCTGAGAGCGGAGGAAGAGGAGGAGCCTTGCTGGGCCAGGGAAACAAAGTTTACATTGTCCTGTAGCTTTAAAAACACAGCTGGGCACGCCCAGAGGGTAGGTGCCTCTGCAGTTTGGCCCCGAAGACAGAGTGGAGTGATGTGGGGCCTGTGTGGAGAAGGGCGCAGCCCTGCCCAAGGAGGACACAGCACAAGGGCACATTGCCCACGGCTGGGAATGCTACCCAGCCTGAAAGATACAGGGGATCATGATAAAAATAGCAGTATTATTTTTCTTCTCGGTATCTTAACTAAGTTATTCACTCCGCCTGCTCCTCACCCTCGCCCGTAGGGAAGCCTTGGAGCAGAGCCTTGAATGTGGCTGCCAGCTATGCTGAGAGGGCTGTGTGCACGATGTCAAGGCAGTGTCCAATGTAGGAGGGGCGGGAAGAGAAGGGACAGTGCCTGTCCCAGTGAGCTGTTTTGTTTTTAACGCAATGAAGACACAGTATATTCTCCCATAGAATGAGAAGGGGATCAGGGAGTTGCCACCTCCTAGGTATGTGGAGCCAGGCAGTCAGGTGCTAAGTGAAGCTGCTGGCTCAGTGCAGCTTCTGTCTAGCCAGCCGAACGGTGCAGGAAAGGGTGGGAATGCAGCCCCCTGTGCAGATAAGAGGCTGAAATCCAGGCCAGTGGGTGTAACGGTGCCTCATAGCATAGCCAGCATTCAGCACATGCAAACCCACTGCCCACACTTGGGCTCAGGGTTGGCCATTTGCTAGTTCTGCTGCCCTTTTAAGATCTGACTGCCAAATAAACCATCCTCATGTTCTTTTTCCTCTAACCTGTATGTTCTTTGCAGGGCTCAGAAAAACCTGTCACGATTACTAGGCAACAAACTAGTGTGAAGTTCCTGGGCACTTCTTAGCTCAAGCAGATCTTTTTTTCTGGGCTAACAGGAGGCACGAGGCCATCACTGCCACCTTGTCCTCCAAAGACAAGAAAGAGTGTGGCTAAGCGGAATGCATCCTGCCTGGAATCTCAGGCAGCTTTGACAGTGAACCCAGAGTCCTTTCCTGGTTGCACGAACACCCTCATTTTGAAACTGCATTAAGGTGTACTGCTAGGTACCCCTTGTTTGCCTCTATAATTTGCAACTGAACTCTTAGGCCGGAGAACAGTTACAAGAGACCCCCCTCCCTTCCTGAGGCTGTGTTTGTCCTAGTCTCCCCTGGTGTGGAACAGTTTCCCGAATGTGAAACAGTGCATGCCATGTGCTAACTTAGTTGGGTGGGCCCCTGTCCAAGCCTGAATCTTTTCCTGGAGCTTCACCACCCTGGAGAAAGGAGAGTGGTCCTTTCCCACACACAAGAACGTTGTGGCTGGGAATATATTGGACGCGAGGTATCTCCATTTCTGCTCCCGATTCTTTGACCCAGGCACAGAGCATTCCTTATCAGGGAAAGAAGTCTGGGCTGGCACTTCATGTAGGGCCTGTTTGCATGGCCAGATGATATCTGTGGCTTGTTGGTGCTGATCACTTAGTTCTTTGTCAGTGTGTATCTCTGTTAATGGAACAAATGTCCTGGATGGGGGGGGGGGTGCTAAGGACATGAGGCAGAAGAGAAAAGGGAACCCTAAAATAAAAATGCCAGGGGTAGGGGCTGGGGATTTAGCTCAGTGGCATAAGCACCTTCCTGGCAAGTGTGCAGTCCTGAGTTCAATCTCTGGTACCAATAAAAACGAAAAAGACAAAAAAAAAAAATGCCAGGGGTAGAAACACACCAAGTTAATGATTCTGCTAGCATCTACATACCAGGCCTTTCTAGAGACCAACTTGTTTACAAGCTCCCTGTTTGAGAAAGAGTGGTCAGGGTTGAGAAATACCGACTTTGACAAAGGAAACTGGAAGAGCAAGGTGGAAGTGAGTGGTACTCTGGTACAAAGAGAAGGGCCCCTGCTCCTAGATGTCTGGCAGACCAGGGACAGGCACATGAGTCAGAGAGGCAGAAGGTAACTTTCACCAGCTGTCACCCAGTGGACTACACAGGGCACTGCCTACAAGGTCGAGGCACTAACACCTTCTGCCTTGGGACTGAAAGTGCCCTGCAGAAGGTAGGAGCAGTCTGTGGCCTCAGTTGAGTGAAGCCATTAACTAGGCCTGAGCCAAAAAAGAGAAGGGCCTCCCTCATGACCAGGTACAACTTGAGCTGGGCCTGGGTGAGAAATAAATGTCTTTCACCTTGTCCACATACGGTTTCTGCTGGGGAGGAGCGGGGGGAGAATGACACGGGACTGAATGGGGTCATCCCAGCAAACTAGCTCTGTCATACCTATACAGGGAGTCAGGCCTTGACTCACCCTGACGGTTGTCCTCCCTAGGTCATCTTGATAATCCCCAGGGAACTTAGTCCCGGGGTCAGAGTGAGCATTCTGTTTCCTACCTGGAAGCCACACATCCCTGATTGGCCGCTATTGCCAGTGCCGCCCAAAGCAAGTCCAAAGTGGGTAGTGTCTGAGCCTTGTGCCCACTGTGGGGTTCAGCTTCTGGGGTTTTACACCAGTTTTGTCTGACTCAACGACCTGGCTCTTCAGCAACAACTGCTACCCAGATCCCACGATGGCGGCCTCTAGAAGGGCCCTGTACATAAATGCTAACAGAATCATTAATGTGAAGTGTCTACTCCAGGCGCTTTTACTCTCAGGGGGGCTCTTCTCTTGCACCACATATCCTTAAGGCCACCCTAGCCACCCAGTTGCCTTGATGTGTAGAAGTCGTGATCTTAACCGTCGTTCTCCAGAAGGCCCCTACATCCCCGTGCAACTCCTCAGCAGATGACAAGTCTGCCAGCACTTCTCACAAGAACAGAAAAAGAAGAAACCCTGCCAGTATCCAATCACCAGGTGCCCAGCTCTGGCTTGAGTTGCCCTTGTCTTTCTCACACAATTTCCACATGGTTTTACTGCTTTCACACAAGCCATTCCAGTGAGCTCGGCAATCAGGGAACAGGGCGAGCGGAGAGAGACTCCATTTGTCATCAGCTTATGGGCAGTTTGCCCACAGGTTAAATCAACAGATCCCATGAAACGGTTTTAACTTTTTCTGAAATCCCTATGAAATGAGTCAGATCTGAAACGTATGTACATTTTTATTTAAGAACAATCAAAAGATTTGAAGTACCATCAAGGTCCATTTCAGACTGTACAAGCATTTGTCCCTTTTCCCCTCCCCTTCTCAAATCCACAGATACAAAATCTAGAAGTGTGCAATTTGCATCTTAGAAATAGCAGCATCCCCACAGGGGACCTTGTGAGGCCTGAAGATTCAGCCCAAAGAGGCCAACCCTCCACCTCCCTCTTCCACCTCCTACCCCCGCATAACCACAGTCTACACCAAAGGAAAGCACCACCTTTCTGTTTAAACATTCACCATCCACTGGGCAAAAAACTCCCATCCCACACCTAAACGACAAGTGTGTGCCATTTTGTTTGGTCTCACACTTGGTCACAGTAGGAGGTGGGACCCTTGTACAGTTTGGCTGAAGTTTAAGTATATGTAACAGGACAGTTGGCCTTCACTTAGCACCAGGATGACTACTACTTCAACTGTCCCCAAAGACAGGAAGTGCACCAGAAACAAACTGCTCACGCCATTCCCCCTTGCAGTTCATAGCAGTCTGGCCCACAGGGAACAAAGGGGTTTGCATCAAAGATCGGAACACATGGGTGCTCCAGGACTAGGAGTTAGGACTTTGTCAGAAGGTCATCTGCAAGCCCTTGGCAACCTCCCTAACTTCCCTCAAAGGTTATGACTGTAAACTCAATGTACAATACACAGCAAGGGAGAGGAAAGTTGGCATGTTTTTCTTTTTGATAACAATTATGGCACAGTCTGGCCCTCCTGACACCCTTCTGACACTGCTGAACAAAGCAGCTTCTCGGAGCACAGTGGGAGCTTACTGCCCAAGGGTGTCCACTGCTCCTGGCCCTCGCCCAGATTCCTAGGCTCTGACCTGACTGACAAGCTGGTGCCCCATGAGGAGGGTGTTACCATTCTTGCTCTAGCCAGCAATCTCACATTGGCTCCAGTCTATCAGGCAAACTGCAAGAGAGCGTTTTGGGGGCACGAACCCTCTCTCATAATGGGGTCATAATTCATATGTCTTTTGGGCAGCTCTGAACCACTGGTGCTATGTGCATGGCTGTCCCATTGGATAGCATGGGACAGTCCCACTGAGTGGTACAAGCTGCCTGGTTGGGACATCATGCATGAACCATTGGTGGTTCAAGGTGGGAATGTGTTAAAAACAAATGGGGTTTTAGGCACCATGTTGACTAATTTTGTTACCCTCTTTGTAGTACTACTATGGGGTTGACATTCAGAAAAGACCTAGCACATGGTTTTCTATGCTCAGTGAGCAGCTTTTATCCTGGACAGTTTACCTTTGATTCTAGTCACTGAATAATTCTAAATCACCCATTTGACACGGAAGGGAACACAAGTTTAAAAGCATTAACCAAAAAAAGCTACTGATTAACACATGTAGATGCCCATCTATGTGTACAAGATGTGCATTCCCCCTGCCCCATGCTGACGCAGCAAAGAGCAGGTGATAAGCACACAGATCCCTCTCAGGTATTCTGACTTGCCACCTCACCACCCACCCTCAGGGCCAGCAGAAAGATGCCAGCCAGTCCCTGCTGGAACAGTGGCTTTCTCTGTTCCTTTCTAGGCTCTGCCAGACTCCTGTCAAGCAGCATCAAGGACCAGGCTGCTCAGGGAAAGGAGGATAAAGCCAATACACTCTAGCTCCCCAAGTCTAGTGCACCGAAGTACAACTTAAACAACAAAGAAGCAGCTACTAGCCCCCTGCTGTCATCCATGGGGCAGGCAGAGTCAGCCTAGTCTCATCACTAGCCTCTAGGTTTCTGTCCATGCCCCCGACTTCAGGACAGAGCCTGCGGTAAGAACAACTTTTCTGTGTCATTGTTCCAGTCTAGTAAAGAACTAGATTCTTTTCAGAGCAGGCAGGATAGAATGGCTGGCTGTTGTAAACAAGTGAATTCAAGACGAAAGACCCCAAAGCAGGCTCTCTATCCTTTCTAGGGCCACATTCTCTATTAAAAACAAGCGCCAAATGCAAATGCAGGGTCAGCTCTGAGAATGCATGGGTTTGCTACCCCTCTCCCCAAACAGGGTTCCTGGCCACTGGGAACACAGGCTGCAGCGGAAATTGTTTTAATCTGAGGTCTGCTAACCCCACTGGACTTCCAAGTTGGGGTAGGTTAGCAAGCCAGGCAGCACTGTGTGCACCACTTCCATCCAGTCACTCAGATAAAACCAAAACTGGTCTTTTCACGAGGTCCCCATAGCTTTGTAAAGTCCTGGGCTTTCCTGGTTCAGTGTGACCCTGCCTGCTTGCATGAGCCACAAGCCGCACAGTATCTTGGTTTGAAGCTTTACTTAGGGAAGGGACTTGAACTCCGAGAAAGACTTGAACACCACCACTGCCTGCTGGCTTTACATCAGAGTCCTTTGAACTCTGTGCTCTCCATGCACATGAAGACAGCTCCAGAGGGCTGGGGAGGCCTGTTTCTCAGGGAAAGTGGGAGAAAAAGGCTGGCTCAATATGCTCTTAGAGAGGGATCTCCACAACTAGGGTCAGAAGAACCAGGCCCTGACCTAGGGAGGCTGCTGGCTTTGGCCAGGATGCACTGGCTATGCTGATCTAAATGTGTCAAGGGCTTCCCTTCACCAGCATGCAACAGCCTTACAGATAGATGTGATACATGAAAAATTTAAACTTAGAAGTACATAAACAGCCAGGTATAGTGGCATACTCCTGTAATTCCAGCACTTGGGAGGCTGATACAGGAGGCTCGTTGGAAGTTCAAGACCAGCCTGAGCTACAAAGTGAGGCCAAAGCCAGCCTGAGCTGCATAGTAAGACCCTGCCTCAAAACGACCAAAAATACAAAGTACATGAACTGTGCTGAATCCAGCAAGCTTCCCAGGGTATCAGCTAAGGAAGTGAGGTGGGAGGTAAAGCCTAAACTCCAACTTTTAAAGTTAAGGTTTTCTTGGATTCTCCTGGAAAGTGCCTCTATCCACTTGGGCTGTGATGTTTGAGCTAACAAGAAATGCTTCAATCCAGGGGCTTTAACCCACAAAGACTACAAAAACAGGAGCAGCAGGGTCCAACACAGGAACAGCATAAGAAAGAAGCAGAGGGAAAAGAATGTGCATAGAAATCTGAGCACCCAGCCAGAAAAGCTGCCTCCCACTCTCCATGGAAGCAGCTTTGGGACAGGTGTCCTAGAGCCAGAAAAGCAAGGCTGGGGTAAGGACCAAACCAGATGAAACCCACAGGAGCCACAGCTCAGCCCGGAGAACACACAGGAGCTTCCTTGTGGGAGCAAGACTGAGCGCAGGCGGGAGGGAGCCGACAAGGCACCACCCAGCACTCCCACTAACTCCCCTTTTGCTTCCAGAGAATGAGCTGTGGGCCTTGGGCTGAGCTGCTTTGGTCCACCTAGACAGCTGGGTCACTGCAGAGAGAAAGCTCTAAGGCCAAAATCTCAAGGTGGTGGTGAGCTATCAAACTAGGGCATTCTTTTTCAGGAACCAAGCTTTGAAAATAATTTTCTTCCCAAAATGAAAAAGGTCCTCTACAGTCAAAAATTAAAGCAAGTAATCAAAATATGCATTTATGTATCATGATTCCAAATTTCCTTTATCAGAAAGTGACCTGGATAAGTGGTAAGATCACTGTAAGTTCGAGGCCAGTCTGAACCCCATAGCAAGACCCTGTTGAGAGAGAGAGAGAGAGATCTGGTTTCACCTGTTAGAACTAAATATATGTAACCCTATAAAAAATTAAATCAAACTGGTACAATAAGCAACAAGAAATATAAGTTGGGCATATACAGAAAAGGGAAAATACTTGTCACCTTATAAAATAGGCTTTTTCTTTGTAAGATGAACCATCCCCCCATCTTCAGCCCAAAGACAGCTTTCTAGTGAACATAACGGCACCTAACTTAACCCCTTAGCAGTGTGTACTGTGACGAGCCACAGACCTGGCTGTTGTCATTCCACTGCAACTGCGTGTTTCTGACCTGAGGGCTCATGAAGGCACGTCTCTGCCTGACACACTGCATTCAGAGATTGGCACTCAAAGCCCTGAGTCCTTACTCAATGACCACTTCTTTTAGTGTCACCTTTGATAATCTTACTTTTTTCAATGTAAGGTTTAAATCATACCTTATCACTACCATCTAAGCACAGGAAGAAGCAGTGTCAGCCCAGTCTGCTGGGCTTATCTGGGCCATTTGTGGCATGGCCCTCACCGCTGAGCAGGGCCAACATTTGAGAAAAACTTGCTGGGATTGACATCATTATAACTTCCATCTAAAAGACAACCTGGTGCCTGAGGCTGGGGCACTCTATGTCCTGTATAAACTTGTCCACCATGTGACTTATTTTTTCTGTTTTGGTCTTTGGGTTTTAAAGTTCAATACAAATAACCAAGAAAACCATCTCAATTGACACTATTTGGCCAGTACATGCAAGATTCTGGAGGTGACATCAGCAAGAATCTGGGGGTGAGACACTGGTCAGCTTCTCAGATTCTTGCAGATGGCTTTGTGCTAGGCCACCAAAGCTGTGCAAGGAACTGACTTTCCCTGTCACACTGGCCACTTCCCCCAATACCCACATGCCATGAAGTTCCTCAAGGGCACATATCATATGTACATTTAACAAATTATCAAGTGAGCATTTCTACTGCATATATGTAGATACACAAATTAGACTGCATGTACATAAATACTAAAGGAAAAGTTCTAGGTGTCTGTTCTCTGAAGGAAGGCACTCAGTCTCCAATCTTGGCAATTCCTCAAAGGCTTTTGGAACCAAATAGCTTCAATCCCCAAATGGAAAGAATACAAAAATAGGCTGCAAAACTTGCCAAGTACTCACAAGTTCCCAATTTGAGACAAATAAGAGGTGGTCCCTATTGGGACGTGGAGGGCAAGAAAAGAGACTTTAGAACAGTGGTTCAAGGGCTTTGCTCTCCAAAGAAAGCTCCCTCCTGGAAAGCAGAAGGTGCTGCCACCAAGCTCGTCCTGGAAGCCACGCCAGCCCGGTGGCCCAGCTGTTCCAGTTCTCTGGTAGGGAAAGGAGGAACAGTGCCTAGTACACACACTGTGCCTCGAGGTGCTCCACCCTGCCCAGGTCTGTGAGCGAGCCCATGAGGTCCTTGTACCTGGTGTGGTACTGTGGGAAGCAGGATGTTCCTAAGAGCTGACACCAGAGGTAACAGGTCCTTAGCTCTGAGTGGCCAGTACTGGGGAAATAGAATTGCCATTTAGTACAACTCTAAGCACATTTTTCACCACTTAAAAGGCCCCTTTTCCTGTGGTTTTTCTCAATTCAAAGGTCATGAAATAAGTTCTTGTTTCCCAGTTTAGCAATATAAATCTTCACGAGGACCTGTCCAGTGATGCCCAGCACCACTGGGGCACGCACCCAGCACACTGGCCAGGCCCTAGTGTGTAACTGGGTCACGGGGTGTTCTGCCAGGACTCCCCACTGCAGTTTAAGATTACCAGCTCTGACCATTCCAAACAGTCCTGAATCCCTTCAGCCCTTACTCACCACTGGGCCAGTGTGTGTGTTCTTCCCTCCCAACCAGCAGGAGGCTCTGCAGTACATGGGGAGGAAGGTCTCTGAGTCGTGGCCAGCGCCAGAGGACACAGGGACACCTTCCACTTCTATACTGCCCCCACTGCCACCTTCCATTTTCCACTCACTCCAAAGTACCCAGGTTAAAGCGGGGGGACGTTAAGTGGGCACACAGGTCAGCGTATTAAGCTTAACAATCAATGTTTCCCTAGTTAATCTAATAACCAAAAAGTTATGGTCCAAGATTCACACTCCCATGAAAAAATTACCCTAAGAGTGGTGAGCAGCTGACATTAATCTCAGCTGGGCCATTTTCTGATCTGATGAGCTCACAATGCAAGGCAAGCTGGGTATGAAATGTGGCTGGTCACTGCCTAAGGAGGCACAGATCTCTTGAAAATACTGCTGCCTGCAGAAAGACACAGCAGAGGTCTAGTGGCCTGGACACAGTTCTGTGTGTGCCTTTAACCTCCAGCTGCCTGTGGAAGGTGAGGGCACTGGCCAGCACTCTCCAGAGAACAGACATGGAGCATTTTCAGAGATGATGTGAACAGTATATTCCTTTGCTAACCAAAGTTTCTATATAGTGAAAGTGTTTGTAACCTGTTTTATTAAATGTAGATAGGCAGATGTATATGTTAAAAACTTGATTCTGTGTCTACAAATATGAAATCTGGACTATTGTATCCCTGGAAGGCAAAGGAAAGGCCCTACACTTTGGAGGAAGGACCGACGGTGACCCCTGCTTGCCACTTGCTTCATGGTGGCAGGCCCAGGGTGAAGATGGCAGCATTGGGCTCCAGGATATCAGTGAGACTTCCAGAGGCTCTTCTGGGTGCCCAGTGGCTGGCCATGCCAACCCTATGTGGCAGCAGACAGGTGGATTTGGCTCTTCCACATGGCAGGCAGCGTCCTAGACTGGCCGGTTCTTCATGGTAACTGGGTCAAATTCAGTCTGTTTCTGAGGAGAAAACACACTTCTGTCACTCTATGGCAGCTGCAGCTTGTATATCCCCATGGCACCCTGGCCCTCACTATGCCAAGATATTGTCTGTCACTGGCTTTGGGGATTTTTTCATTCCACAAGCAGTGTCTTTCTATTGGCCACTCCATCTCCAGCCTGAGTGAAAGTGAAAGAGAGTATGTGGCTCAGCAGAGGACACAGGCTAAGTAAGTCAGGCAAGGTCTTCGGACTACTCTCCAAGAGACTGGTGGCCAAATTCCAGACCTAGCAGCTGAAGCAACAGCTTGGCCTCTCCAGGCCCACAATCCCTGGCTTGTCCCAACCCAGTACCCCAGGCTGCCACCAGCATCTCCAGAATCCTGCCTTCCCCCTCCAGGTTCCCTGGAACACATCACTCTTATACAGCAGCTGGGTCTCGTTCTACTGATGTCTTCATTTGTAACATGTAGGCCTAAAAATCAAAGTCAGCGAGGCTGATTAGAGAGGTCATTATCCACGATGCACACAGCTAACACCTTTGCATTGAGGCTGGCTGACAAATTTGAGAAACCAGATGTGGATAAACAGATGAGCCTCAAAAGATGATCCACAATGGCATGGCCACCTCAGCTGCTTCTCCTGCCCCACCAAGGACACCAACGTTTCACTTTGTGCCGGATTCAGTAGCTGAAGGCAGCCAATGCTTCTGACTCAGACCCACTCACTGTATGAAGTACATTCACCATGTTATGAAACCACACCATCTTAAGCAGCAACCCACACTCACTCCCTCCTTCCACACCCTGGTATCCTATATTCTACTTCCTACCTCCATAAATCAGCCTCTTCTAGATACTTCATATATGTGCAGTCATACAGTATTTGTCCTTTGTGTCTGGCTTATTTCATTCAGCATGTTTCAAGGAACATTCTTACAGAATGTATTTGAATTTCATTCTTTTTAGGGCTGAACAGCATTCATTGTATGTATATACCATGCATTTTGATTGTCTACCTCTCAATGGACACTAGGAGAACTTCTGGATCTTGTGAATAACACTGCTATGAAGACTGGTGCACAAACACTTGAATTCCTCTTTCCAATCCTTTTGGATACACACCTATGAGTCAAACCGCTAGATTAAATCAAACCTCCTGAAGAACTGTCAAATTGCCTTCCAAAATTTTAGACTACCCCACAAACACCGAAACTTCTCCATATCCTCACAGTGCATGCTATTTTGTGTGCTCATGTGTTATAGCTGTCCTAAGGATGAACTTGAGTCTCATCATGATTTTGTTTTTATTTTGTTTTTTGGGGACAGGTTCTAGCTATATTTTCCAAGCTTTTCTTGAACTCATCATGTATCCCAAGCTGGCCTCAAATTTACACAGATCCCCCTGCCTCAGCCTCTCTGAGTGCTGAGATTACAGGTGTGCACCACCATGCCTGGTTATCACCGTGGTTTTGACTTATATTTCCCTAATGACTAATAATGTTTTTCATCTTTTCATGTGACTGGCTATTAATATATCTTAGAGAAATGTCTACTTAAAACATTTGCTCAATGTTGAATTGTCTGTTCTGAGTTGCAGAAGTCCTATATTCTGAATATTAGTCTCATCAAATGTGACTCTCAAATGTTTGTCTTACCCTGTTGGCTATCTTTTCACTCTCTACTCATTGATATATAAAAATTTCAAAATTTTGATATAGTCCAATTTATCTACTTTTTCTTTTGCTGCCTCTGCTTTTGCTATCAGACTTAAGAAATTATTGCCTAATCCAAGATCTGGAAGGCTTCTATCTGTATTGTATTTCAGTTTTTGCCCTTTTGCTTACATCCCTTTTGTGTCTGTTAAGTCTCAATGAACTGTATTGTTTTTCAAGTCCTCTAGTTTCTTGTTTTTTTTTTTATACAGGTTCTTATGTAGTTCAGACTGGGCTTGCATTAACTATGTAGTTCAGGTAGGTTTAAATTCAGGTTAAGTTCAGACTGGTCTTAAATCCTGTCTCAGCCTCCCAAGTGTTGAGACTATAAGCCTGGGCCAGCATACCTGTTGATCTTCTATTATTTATATTTATTATTAAAAGCAGGGTACAAAGTTCTCCAACCATTTCTACTTCTCCTTTTAACTTTGTTAAGTTTTGCTTCATATATTTTAGGGCTCTGTTAGGTATATAAATGTTAGCTCTGTCTTGTAGTATTAAGCCTTTTATCACTATATAATAGCCTTCCTTGTCTTTTTAGCCTTTTTTGATTAAAGCCCATTTTGTCTGTTAATATAGCCACCTCAGCTGTCTGTTGGTTACTATTTGCACAGCATATCTTCTTCCATCTGTCATGGTTTATGTTGGTGGCCTAGAGGTCTCATGTATTTGCATTATGCATCTGTGATTGGTTCACTGTCTAGTGCTTAGATGGTGTCAAGTGCTACACCCACAAAGGGGTGGAGCCAGGATGTGATGTAATGGCAGGAAGAAGGTGTGTCTTGCTCTTTTGCCAGTTTCTGCCTTGCTGTTTGCAGCCGCCATGAACTGCAGCCCAGCCATGCCCGCCTGCCTTGGAGCCAACTGAGTATGGACTGAAACCTCCAAAAACTGTAAGAAATAAACCTTTCCTTTCCCAACTTTGGGCTTCAGGTATTTTGTCTCAGCAATGAGTAAAAAGTAACTAAGACATCATCCTTCTACTTTCAATTGTTTTGTGTCTTATATTCAAAATGAGTTTCTTGTAGGCAGCATAGATGGATCCTTTTAGTCCAAACTGATAATCTTTGTCTTTAACAGAACTTAATCCACAAAGTTAGAAAAAGAACATGGAGAATTTACTCCTGTCATCTAGCTATTTGGTTTTTCTATGTCTTCCATGTTTTTGGCTACTTAATTTCTCCATCACTACCTTTCTTAATACTTACTTGATTGTTGAAACAATTTTCTGGAAGATAAAATAGGGAAAGCTCTTGAAGATTACATCTTATTACACTCTACACCACAGGCATAGATTTATAATTTTTAATGTGATTTATCTCACAAATTATATTGGAAAAAGACAAAAGTTAAATAAAATGCAATGATACTGGCTTTATTTACCTATAAATTAGTGTTATGGTTGTCTTATGACTTCAAAATTACTGTTCATTATCCTTTCATTTCAGTTTGAAATACTTATCATTTTTAGTAGGGCATGTCTACTGGTAATGAAACCATGTAGCTTCTGTTATCTGAAAATGCCTTAATTTCTCTTTTATCTTTGATGGACAAGCTTGTCAGACAAAGGAATCTTGGTCAGTAGATTTGCAGGGTTTTTTCCCCCTTTAGGACCTTGGATATGTCCTTCCACTGTCTTCTGGCCTCCCAGGCTTCCAATGAACAATCAACTATTAAGCGTATTGCGATTTCCTTTTCTACTGTTGCTTTCAAAATTATCTCTTTGTTTTGGGGTTTTGACAGTCTTAATGAGTCTTAATGAATCTCTGAGTTTATCCTGCTTGATGTTCAGAGCTTCTTGGATGTGTATGTTCATGTCACTCATAAGACTTGAAAAGTTTTCTGCCTTTTCTTTTTCAGTACTGAAGTTTGAATCCATGACCTTCACACTGAGCTGTATCTTCAACCCCTTGTTATATTTTATTTTTAAATACAGTCTCACTAAGTTGCTAAACTGCCCAAGCTGGGCTTGAATTTGTAATCCTCCTGCCTCGACCTCTGAGAGTACCTAGATTATAGGCATGTGCCACTATCCTTAGTTCATTTTAATTTTTTTTTTGTACCAGGAATCAAACTCAGAACCTTGTGCTTACCAGGCAGGTGCTTCTGCCACTGAGCTACATCCCTATCCCTAAATATTCTTTATGATTCTTTCTCATAGGTCTTTTAGGGTCTGTTCATTTTTTTTTCTCAACATCTGGCTAACTTCAGTCATCTTTAAATTCACAGATCCTTTCTTTTCCCTGATCAAATTTGTTGCTGAACCTTCCTCCCCTTGTAAATTTTTCATGTAACTGTACTTTCTAGTTCTACAGTTTAATTCCATTTTGTCATTTCTATCTCATTACTGATGATACTCTCAATTCCATTATGGATAGCTGCCCTGCTCTTTTAGATTTTTGTTGATCATTTCCTTTAGCTCACTAGACATATTTTAAGACAGCTGATTTAACATCTTTGATAACTCCAATATATGGACTTCCTCAAGTCTGTCAATTTTTTTTCCTATGAACAAGACATACTTTCCTATTTCTTTATAATTTTTTTGTTGAGAACTAAACATTCCGAGTACTATGTATGGTGATTCAAATATAATTATCTTAACCTCCAGCTTTGCTCATTTTTGCTTGTGGAGAGCTTTGTGGCTTCTCCAGACTATTTTTGCGAAGTGTGTATTACTTGTGCAGTGGGGTCACTGAAGTTTCTGTCTCGAGTCTCTTTGGTAACCCAAGATTTTTCTTACACATCTGGCTCATCCAAAGGGGGGACTTTTTCTTAAAAGTCTTTCTGTCTCTTTAAATTGCCTATGGCTAGGAAATTGTGTCAGGGCATGGGCTTTAGAACAGTGACAGTCTGTATGCTGGCTCCTGAGGAAATACAGTTCTCAGCAATCAAAACTCAAAACTCTGACTTTTAGAAGACACAGTCATTACTGCCCAGACTGGCAACAAAAAAATACTAGGAACCTGGGCCACAGTCACCACGGACGCCAGCTGCAGGGCTGGGAGAGATGATGCTGTGTATCAAGCTTTTCTATGTGTTGCAAATGTTCAGCTAGGCTCCAGACTTCCAATAATATTTGGTTCAGCCAGTTTATGTCAGCTTAATAGCTATTCTGATGGAGGACTGGTAGTCTCTGCACTACCATCTTCTATGATGGAACGCTTTTCAGGGAAGCATTTTTGTCTCATTTTGTTTTTTGAGACAATGTCCTGCTACCAGTATGTACTTCAGGCTGGCCTTGAACTCTTGGCAACATTTCTGCTTCTGTCTCCCAAGTTCTGGGATTTATAGGCATGTGCCACCACATCTGGCTCCAAGTCATCTTTTTAACCAAACTTATTCAAGCATCATCATCTCTTTTATGCATGACACCTGGCCTACTGGCAGGCAAAAGAAGTGTAACTCTGCGCGCTTCAACCAACTTGGATAAAGCTTTCCAAAGAGGACAGATAACCTGCTTTGCAATGAAAAACTTCAAACCAGCCACAGGCAAGCTTCCCCTTGCCCTGCTCCAACTCCAGAAATTCACCAGCCCCTGAAGGAGGCAGGATGAGTCTGGACCCCAGAGAAGTGCCTCTCCCTTCAGGCTTTCCTCACTGCAAACAGGCTGGAAGTGATAGAGATACAAGCAAAAAGCTAGCAGTTCTGTGTGTTTGCCGTATCTCCTAACCAGGGATTTGGGCTCTACCAGGTGTTTGCTCTGTTTGCTTCACAGAGTCGTTTTGCATTAGTATGTGAACATTAAAAGAATAGGCCTTCTGAAAATGCTAAACAGATGGAAAATATGGCACTCCTTCCCCAACAGGAGCAGACATGTAAGCCTCCATTTCCTTCAATGAGTGAAAAAAACCCAGTATCTTAACTGTACTTCAAAATTGTGCTCTAATGCATTTAAAATATTTGGAGAAAGAAAAGTAATTTTATTCTTTTTAGAGGTCTTAAGTAGAAAGCAACTTGGGTGAAGGAACTGGGTCTATCTGAGGGGCAGGGTCTTATTCTTGGAATGAGATATCAAATACAAGGGTCCACACTGAAGCAACCTATACCACAGTCTCCAAGGACCAGTTTCCACAAGTCTGGGTATCTCTAGCACCACTCCACCACAGCCAACCCAGGGCCATAGCTGCCCTTTACAGCCACCAATGCCCATGGCTTTTGCAACACTCTTCTCTCCTGGCTCTTGCTTGGGCTTCTGGATCCCTTGGGACAGGGCCTCTAATGAGGAGGCAAACACAAAACAGTAGAGAGGGAGAGAGAGGCTGGGAACTGTGGGACAAAGAATATAGAAATCATCCAGTAATATGACTAATCTATGGGTTTACAACTGTGTCTTAAATAATATGGTTTGTGTCTGGAGGTCATAGGGGCAAGAAGGGGCTTTCTGGAGGCAGCTGAATCTAGAGTTTGTGATTGGTTCATTGTCTAGTGCTGCGGTTGGGGTGTGAGTGCTATACTTGCCTACTGCGGGTAGCCTGCATATATATAAGGGAGGAAAAGAAGCTTGCCCTCCCCTTTTTGCCTTTGCTGTTTTGTTGTCTTCTATTATTCCAGCTGCCATGAACTGCTGTACCCCTGCCATGTCCTCCCTTGGAGCAAGCTGACTCTAGATTGAAACTTCCTCAAACTGTGAGGAGAGTAAACCTTTCCTCCTTTAACTTTGGCTATCAGGTATTTTGTCTCAGCAACGAGATGAGTAAGTAATACTAAGATATGACTCAGGAGAAACTCAGGAACAGAATTTAAGTTTTGGATTCCATATATGTTAAAGAGGGGAGTGATTTTACATAATAAACATTTTGCTTTTCTTTTCCTTTTTTTGAAACAGGTTACCCTCAAACTCACGGTGATCCTCTTGCCTCAGCTTCTCAAGTGCTGGGATGACAGGTGTGCACGGCCATGCTCAACTAATAAACATTTCTTCTCCATCAAGAAGAACAAAAGAAACCTGAGACGGTTTTCACCACTAAACAGGAGCACTTCCAGTGTCTAAAATCAAAGGCTCTCTTTCATTTGGTTGACTAACTTGAGTTGAATTTCCTCCATGTCCTTTTGCTCTCTCTCCTTCCCAGTTACTGGGGATTTGCCCGACTTAAATGATGTTTTATTTATTCTCCTATTGCTAAGAAGTGCTAGAAAAGTTTAGATGCCTTTAGGTTCTCCATGTTCTTTCCCCTGCATACGCTGAAGAGAAAGAAAAAAAAAAAACCCAAAAGAAATCCTAACTCAGTCTCACCCTTTTATCCGTTTTAGCCTTCCATGGCTTTTGTTGCTGTTTGTCTCCTTAAGCAATCAGATCCTTAACACTACTGCCAGCCAGCCTTAAGGACAGCAGATGTCCCCAAGGCAAGAAATTCAGCGCCCACCTCTTGCATGCCTCCTCCTCTCCCCCTCCCCCACAGAGGAAAGCCATGGTTCCCACGTGCTCCTTACCTAGCTCAAGTCCAGTCTGGGAATTCAATGTGTCAAAGGGCTCCGAGTTGGCCTCAGAGGCACTGGGTTCCCACGACTCATTATTTTCAGACACTTCTGGGTAAGTGTCACCCAGGCCTTTGTGAACTGCCAGACGCTCTCCAGCACCAGGGTGCTGGTCTTCGCTGCCTGTGTCTGCCACAGCCCGTGTTTCCTCACCCATTTTCTCAGCAAACCACTGCTTGACCTGCTGGGAGCTCATCTGAGTTTTGTCACAGAGGTTCTGCAGGTCCTCCTCATACAGCATCTTGTGCGTCATGTAATAGTCTTGCAGCAGTTCTCGGTTGCCAGGGGTGATGACCAGCAGCCCTGGCGGGAAGTTGCCATGCTTGTAGTCTTCATACCACTTGAGTTGGCCATTCTTCAGGGCATACCTGCTGTCCCCAAACCAGCGCACCACCTCTGGCCGTGGAAGACCTGTCTGGGCCATTATAGAGTCATAGTCCTGGTTGCTTGGCCACTGTGTCTGGACAAAGAGCTGCCGCAGCAAGTGCCGCTGCTGGGCTGTCTTTTTGTAGCTCATTTTGCCTGGGGGTTGCTCTACCAGCTTGTTCAGCCCATCATCCTCAGGCTCACAGACACCCAGGCTTGGAAGGTCATTCTTACCACTGGCTTCAGTGACCCGCAGGTTCTTGAGGTTAATTTTGATGGGGCTGACTTTGCGCTCGGCTGAAGTCTGGTTAATAGGCATTTCTGGGGAGCCATTTTCAGCAGCAACCCTCAGCTCATGGGCCAGCTCTCCTTCTCCACCCTCATCTTCAGCAGCTTCCTGTTCTTCCTGAGAGGCATTCTCATCGTCTTTCTTGGTCTCCTCAGCATTCACTTTTTTCCGTCTCTCTGAAAACCAGCTATCAATTTCTCTCCGCGTCATCTTGGTTTCACTTCTCAGACGGTCCAGTTCCTCATCCAGAGGAAGTGGGTTTTGTGCAAAGCTGCTCTCCAGTACACGGAGTTGCTCAGGGGCTCTTTCTTTGTATTTGGTTGGAGTGAAGTCAAGAGTCTGAGGCCACGATTGCCGTTTAGCAGTAGGGTGGCTTGCTAGCGAGGCCACTGTTGGGACACAGGCCACTTCCGAGGCCTTGGACAATGGGGGAAAGGGGACCTCTGGTACAGAGTCAATGAGGATGGAGCCAGGCTCTCCAGGCATCATGGCTCTGGAGCCCTTCAGGTTCCGGCAGTGGTATCTCCGATCACTGAACCATTTCCGCACCTCTCTGGTACTAAGCCCAGTCACTTTGGTCAGATGCTCAACTTCACTCTGCCCTGGGAACTGGTTCCGACAGAAGCTCCCTTTCAGAGCTGACAGCTGTTCATGAGACTTCTTATTCTTGTACATGTTAGCATCAAGAAAGGCTTGGGAAGTTATACTGGGGCATGCAGTAAGGAGTGACTGGGCTGCATTGACCACTTTCACAGCTGATGCTGTATTTGAACACACAGTATTAATAGGTGTCACAGAAGGCTGCTTGGGGATAGATGTGACTGCCAGGGGCAGAGATGAATTTGGTGCTTGCAACCCATTGGCCATCAGTGGTTGAGTGACCAGGAGTCCCCCTGCTGTGCCCTCTGGCTGTCCCACAACATGGCCTGGGAGAGCGGCCTGAATGAGATGCTGGACATTGCCAGCACTGGCAACCAGAGGTGTGTTTAGAACTGTGATTGTGGGCTGAGGTACAGACTGGATGACTGTGTTGAACATCTTTTTCCGGGCATCCTCGATCTCCTCAGGGGACCAGCTGATACCCTGTTTCAGCCTCTGGGCTGTGAACCAGATCTTAAGCTGTTCTTCTGGATACTTGGTCACCACAGTTAGGTAGCAGAGCTCAGCTTTGGTTGGGTAGGGGAACTTGTGGAAAGAGTTCTTCAGGAAGCTATTGGAATCCATGGCTGCATTGTATGTTGGGATGCTGCTCAAGGGGATCATCACTTTGGGAAGGGACTTGGATGTGGGCAGGGGCTGGTGTGGATGGTGCTGGGCATGCACTGGGGGCTGCTGCTGGAGGGAGAGGAATTGTGCTATGCCAGCTGGCAGAACTGGCACTGATCCTATCAGAGGCCCATTGGCACCATGGGGAGGCTTTGCAGAGCTGGCAGATGTCTGGCTGACAGGAGCTGCCCCATTGACAGAAGCATGGTTTCCCTCTTTCACCTCTGTCTCTCCACCTGATGGCTTTGACAAGGCCTCACCCCCAGGCTGACTGGAGACATTCTCCTTGAGCATATGGATTTTTTTGGCTTCGGCTTTGCCTTTCATTATCTTCATGATTGGGGTCTTAGTAATGATGATTTCAGCCTGTCCATCAGTTCCTTCAGTGCTGGGCTCTCCTGCAAGGTCAGGAGTGCTGGTGCTCTCAGGCACACTCTGCTCTACCACTACATGATTGTCTGGCTTGGCCACATTCCATACAAAGCTGGCTTCTCCCAAGTGACACTTGGCATTGTGCAGGGAAAGGTCTTCAGGGTTTTTTGCCAAGAAACTGCACCCAGTGCATACAAAAGTTGGGTCTTTATTAAAGTCTGTGTGCTCTGAGTTCATATGTCCCACAAATTGGGTCATATCCTGGGATCTGAAATCACAGTCTTTACAGGAGTATAAACAGCCATCCAAAATGCTCCGATGTCCATTTGCCAGAGCAGAACCTTCAGTGTTGCTGGAGTTCTGGGCTGCCTCACTAGTGGTGGCAGGCGCTTCTGAGGGCAGATCCTGCTGGGGTCCTTCAGGCAAGGCCTCAGCAGGTTGGGCCTCCACAATGGCATTCTGTAGCACCACAGTCTTCACTGGGATCATGCATGGGGTGGTAGATTTCCTCTTGCTGGCCATGATGACAACCACTCTGGGTGATCAGCAGGTGACAGCTTGTCCCATCCACAGGCCGTACAGTATAAATGCCAGCTATTTTACAAGCATGCAAGAAACAGCTTCTAAGGGCAGTTTTTCAGTAAATTTCAAAAAGCAGATTTTTCCTATTAAAGCTGATAAAGAAGAAAAAAACATAATTAAGATCTCTTAATCTCAATTTCTTAGATCTACAGAGATACCCCACTGCTTGCCCTCTATCTCCTAGGTCTTTTCACAAGAATCTCATCAGCAGTTTGGCTGTGGCATCTGAGTCAGGTGCCTTTCAGTCACTAACAGAGTAAAGATCTGAAGGATGACCTGGGGATGTTCCAATACCACTTGACAATTTAAGCAATGTTTTTTGTTGTTGTTTCCCCCTCCATATGTTTGCATTAAGTAACTCTGTTTAAAGACAAAAACAAAAACACTCTCTTTTGGACCTCTAAATTAATTCTGACCATGTCAGAGTGAGAACAAAAGACCCACTGTAATTCTTGTTTAAATGTTTGGGCCAACAAGGGTTTTCTTTTCACAGCCTTCCCACGTATGAGAACATGACGACGCCTCTGTCCCTCAAGCCAGCCCTCAAGACCAAGTTAGCAGCAGTGTGCAAGTGCAGGGGAGGCTTGGGTGGGAAGACTGCCCGATTGTGTAAGGGTGGGGCGTCTCTGTGCGGCCTTCCCTCACTGTCATCCTACTACTCCATTCTAGGCCTCAGGAAAAGGATCGCCTTATAATTGCTGGTTATACTGAGGATCACTGTCACTGAGATGACATCAAACCTCAGAGGGCATCAGAATATTCATAAACCCAGTTTGTGGCCCTGTAACTCAAAGTAGGGCCACACCATGGATGCACATACTACATATGACCTTTCACTGTGCTTACTGTTTTTTCATTGAGTGCCTTTACTTTTCCTTCTTAAAAAAACCTATTAAATCTTTGATTGGTTTGAAATTCACTCCAAAGGTGAAAGACTGGCTTACTTATATGTAAAATAACTGTAATAATAATTATCTGATGAGATACCACAAGAAAAGTGCTTCTATGAGCCACACTACTAACATATCACCATAATCATTACCTTTTTTCTCAGTAAATTGTATTGCTTTAATGGCTAAGATAACAGCAATTATAAATTAAAATAAAATTATAACCAGTGTTTGAAATTTGATATAAAAATATATAGAAATTTAAAATAGTTCTATTAAAATCTTAGTAGACAAACACAACAATTTTTTGTGCTTTCTTTTTGTTTTTGGTTTGAGACACAGTCTCACTATGTGGTCTAGGCTGGCCTCCAACACCTGACCTTCCTATTTGAATCTTCAAAGTTCTAGGATTCCAGGTGTTTGCCACCATGGCCAGTCCTTCTTTGTCGTTCCTAAACCTAATCCTGATGAGCATGAGGGTCACAACAGGATTAAAATAATTATCATTCTAAAAAGTTGCAGTGAGATATGCAGATATAGACAGATCCTCACTAATTCTGCCATCCAAATGTCATGTACATGTATTTTAACTTAATTTATAACTGTAAACATAAAAGATTAATATTAAATGAAATTTAAGAAAATAAAACAACCTGTAATTATAGGTACTCACCCTTCCTCTAGTTCAAATATTTTATAGATATTTTCAATGGATATTTCTTTCTTTTCCTTTTTCTTTTCTTTGGTATCGGGGATTGAACTCACAACCTTGCGCTTGCTAGGCAGGTGCTCATGCTGCTGAGTAAAATCCCCGGTTCTACCATTTTTTTCTTATTAAACATGATATTATTAACCTTTTAAATACTTGGTTTCATAGGTACAGTATCTGGCTAACTGCCTACTAATGTACACCATGGATTAACTCAGACTTCTCCTGCAGAGGGTCTCAATGCCTTAATCTCATGATTCACAATTAAATGAACAGCTCTAAGAATGTAGTACATTTTTTCTATCAAATTATTTCCTGAGATTAATCCACAGACATGGATTTATCAGCTTCATGAATTTATCACTTTCTAAGTTATTTTATATATAATTGGCAAGGATTTGGAATCAAAGTCAAATTTTTAGACAAGTCATGGCAGACTTCAAACAGACTATCTGAAAGGAAAAGTGACAAAAGAAAAAATAGGTAAATTAAACTGCATCAAAACTTAAAACTTCTGTGTTTCAAAGACTACTGAAAAAGTGAAAAGCTTTGAAAATCATGTATACAATAAGATGCATCTAAAATATATAACTTCTTACAACTCAGAAATAAAAACTTAAAATTGAATAAAGAATTTAAACAAAGATTTTTAAAGGAGATACTTAATCATCCATAAGTACATTTTAAAATACATTTTAAAATTTCCTACCACTAGTAGGAAAATACAGTGTAAGTCAAAATCACAATAAAGCAGGGTGCAGTGGTGCATACTTGTAATTCAATTAGTTCGTGAGGCAGAGGCAGGAGGATTGGGTATCTGAAGCCAGACTGGGCAACTCAGTATGACTCTGTCTCAACATAAAAATTAAGAAGGGCTGGGGATACATATCAGTGGTAGAGTACTTGCTCAGTATGTATCCTCAGTACCACTGAATCCTCAGTACCACTATATATAGAATAAAACAAAACAAAAATAAGCTACTCCTTTACACTCACCAGGATGGCTACAATCATAGTGACGGATAACAAGCACAGGAGACGATGCCAAAAACTGGAACCTTCACACAAAAATTATGTGGCCAATTCAGAAAAGAGTCTGGCTATTTCTCGAGACTTGTCTGCTAATGGTTATAGTACTGTTATCATAATATTAAAAAGTAAAAACAAATGAAATGACTATCAGTTGATGAATTAATAGACTGTGTATATCCATAAATGAAATATTTCTCAGTCACTAAAAAGGAATGGGGTTTTTATATGATCACCAACATAGGTGAACCTGAAAACATTATGCTAAGTGAATGAAGGCAAATATAAAATGTCACATATTGTATTACGTGTCTAGAAAAGGAAAATCTAAAGTTAGAGAGTAGATTGGTGGTTGCCATGGCTGAAGGTAAAGAGGGGGAACAAAGTGACAGTTAATGGGTATAAGGTCTTTTCTTAAGGTGATGAAAAAAATGTTCTAAAATTAGATAGTGGGGATAGCTTCATAACTGTTTGATATACTGAAAACTACTAAAAGAAAACTGAACCCAAGAAAGGTAAGTGACAGAGCTACCACACTCGGTAATGCAGAAGAAGGTCATCACACGCACCCTTACAATTCCAATACAGGTGACATGATTTGGCAGCACTTCCTGACTTCCTTTGGTGACATTTTTTGGGTAAAGGTGAATGGCAGTGACTGTGAACACCTAGCTTGGCAAGAAAGAAGGAAGAGGCAGACTAACCAGCTGGAAGAAGCACCACCACGAAGGAAGAGCGCACAGGCTGTCCAGAAGCACTCAGGCCTCTGCCTCCAGGGTACAAGAACCAAGGCCAGAAGTGCTACTTGGTGATGGGGACTGGGTTTCCCCAAGGAAAGGGTGAATAAATTATGTTTCTGGTGTTTTATTTATTAAGGCGGAGCAGTGGACAACATGTAGACAGATTTGATTTTTGGAATACTCGCAGTGTCTTTCAAAAATGTCTCCAATTAGACCCAAATTGTCATTCAAATAAATGATAAAGGAGGGTAACAATGCTAACCATTCTTGGAGTGGGGAAGCCATTAATTATAGCCTATTACAAAATAGCAGTAAGGGAAGTGACAGTACCAGCAATCATTTACCAATAGCTTAAGAAGTATTTCTATACATATACTCTCATTTCATTCTCACAACATTCTCACAAATCCCCTTTTATAGTCAAGAAAGGCGAAGCTCAGAGAAGTAGAGTAGCTGTCTGAAAGGTACACCCCCAGAAAGTAGCAGAGCTTGAATAAGAACCGTCACAGTCTGGCTCCAAAGCAGGTGCTCTCAACCATTCCACACATTAAGCTTTCTGAGTTACCCTACAATTACTGGTATAAGGGTTTTTTTTCATACTCCCTTGGAATGATATTTTCTTGGCACTTATTAGGAAAAAATTTAAATATACAACATCCATATGCCCACCCAGGTAGGTGTTTATTAGAGGTTGTTTTTAGCAATGCTATCCACTAAGGGAAATTTGGGTTCATTTCTGACAGATTTTTTAAAAGTATCTATTAAAAGCAGTGCTTGAGAAAAATCTCCAGCTGTCTAGAAAATCATCATCAAGAAGACATAGAGCACGTCTGACAAATGAAGCATTACAGTATAGAAACACAGTTTCCCAAATCAAGTCCAAGTAAGGCAAGCTGGAAAATGTAAAGTTTTTGTGCTGTCAAGAGATTCAGAGGAAGAGCTACATTATTTTTGATTTTGTTATCTGTGTTTTTGGTATCACAGTCAATAAATCACTGCCAAATCCAATGCCATAAAGCTTCCCTCCTATATTTTCTTCTAGGAATTTTGTAGTTTTAGGTCTTTAATCCATTTGACTTAATTTTTTTTGGAACCATAGAAAGTAAAAGAATATAGTTTGATTTTTTGTGTGTGTGGATACCCAGTTTTCCCAACACTATTTTTACAGGGACTTATCTTTACCCTAGGTGTAGTCTTGGCAACTTCTGTTGAAGATCATCTGACTACATATACATTTGACTTATTTCTAAGTCTATTGTTTTACTGGTTTATATGTCTGTCTTTATGCCAGTATCATTCTGTTTGATTACTATATCTTTGTACTATTTTCCCAAATCAGTGAGCAAGCCACCAGCTTTGTTTTTCTTTCTCAAGATTTTTGGGCTATTCAAAATCCTTTGAGATTCCTTAAGAATTTTAGGGTTTTTTTTTCTATTTCAAAAAAATGTCAGTGTGATTTTGGAGGTTCTAGCAGAGGAGTGCAGCTGCTCATATCCTTGATCAAGGAAATGGTCCTCCTGTTGGACTGCGTCTGCAGCTTCAGGAGGGACACATATGGAGCAGTGAGGGAGGGAGGGGACACCTGTGCAACCAACCAGACCAGCCGAATGGCCACTGGCAATCAGCGGGGTGACAGATGTTGCAGCCAGACTGCTCTTACATCAGAGATTTTGATAGGTATTGTACTGAATTGTTAAATAGCTCCTGGTAGAGTGGACATTTGA